CAGCCTTCTCACTTAATCACTACCCAATGACACTTTTACCTAAGATCCAATCCTAGATATGAGACTCATCTCGCTCCCCCTCAATCACCGCAGTGATAACTTTCTACAGTACATAAACTGTTCAGAAGATACACTTCCATTACACATCTTGATCATGCTTAAAAGCTTCAATCAAGTACAATGCATACATCCTCTAACCTACAGGTTTCAAGGAGTATGGTGACCATCCCACAGCTCGGGTGGTTCACAACAAAACTAGCCCTAATGATTACATCTTGTCAATACTCGGCACCTCTTAAATTAGGTTACAATGCTTCTATTTATAACCCTTTTTACCCAACTGGATTTGGGCCTTCATATGACAGCAATGCAGCTTTAACGACCTGCATAAAGTAAGCAGAAAACTTCTGCTGTAAGTTAGGTCTTCCATCGAGCTTTTCTCCTTATCCTTAGCTTCTGATTGAATCTTCTAGGGCTCCACATATGCCTTCAATTTTCGCTACTTGTTATGCATTCTATTTGGCAGAATATTCTGCATAACTTCAGGAACAGAACTGCATCAGACTTGACAGTTCAGTAGCTTGATGTCTGGTATGATGTTATGACATCTCTTGAGACATGTTGTTCCAGATGTTGATTCAACACAACATGTTTAGGCATTTACAATAAGATTTTCAGGCTGTTCCTATTGTACATTACATTACATTATTGTTGTTACTATTTGTTTTACAAGAAATGAGCCAATCCTAAACGAAGGCACTTACAATAATCATCTTCTTTGTATCTGGATTGTAAAGCTTATATGCCTTTGAATTTAAACCGTAACCAACAAAGATACATCTTTCTCTTTTGTCATCTAAATTCTTTCTCAAATGATCTGGTACATGGGCATATGTCATACATCCAAAAACTCTAAGGTGTCATATTAAAGGCCTTCTTCCACTCCAAGCTCCTTCGGGAGTCTTTTCTTTGACACTCTTTGTAAGACACCTGTTTAAAATATAAACCGTAGTAGCAACAACTTCTTCCTAAAACTCCTTAGGCATTTGTTTGGATTTCAACATGAATCTCACCATATCCATGATTGTTCTATTCTTTCTTTCAATAACTCCATTATGTTGAGGTGTGTATCATGTTGTTAATTGATGCTCAATTTCATGTTTCTCAAAGAAACTTGTACCAACAACGTATTGTTGGCCTCTGTCTGTTCTCAATGTTTTGTTTCTATAACCACTTTGTTTTTCTACAAATGCCTTGAATGTCTTAAGGGCATCACAAGCTTCTGATTTTTGTTTCAAGAAACACACCCAAGTATTTCTACTGAAATCATCAATAAAAATAATAAAGTACTTACAGCCACCAGGTGTTGGTATTTCCACTGAACACAAGTCTGAATGAATTATCTGCAGTAGCTTCTTCACTCTCCAAGACATTCTAGTGGGAAATGAATCTTTATGCTTCTTTTCAATTTGACAAGTCTCACATACTCCATTTGGAATATTCACAAAGGCAATCCAGAAACGTATTGTTTTCTCGATAGGTAATTCAAGCCAGAAAAGTGAAAGTGACCAAATCTCATGTGCCACAACCAATCATCATTTGGAATGATATAACTTAAGCAAGGAAATTTTTCATATTGAATTTTTAAAGGAAATAGGCGGTTCAATGTCATTCTTACCTTTGGGATAAATCTGTCATTTCTGTCAATCAACGTGCAGAAACCATTGTGAATTTGCATATTGTAACCTTTCTCTGACAGTTGCCCCATACTCAAGAGATTATGATGAAGACCGAGAGCATAAAAAACATCACCAATAAAATTTTGTGATCCATATTTCAATCTGATAGAAATTCGACTTTTCCCCAAAATTGGAATATTTGAATTGTTTCTGAATTTCATGAAAGATTTTACTGTTTAGTTTAGAGATGAAAATAATTCCTTTTTCCCACGCATATGATTACTACACCCAATATCCATATACCATATATATTCTTCTTCATAAAATATATTACTGGCCAATAATAAATTTTGTGGATTTTCAAAGTACTCACACGTATTTTTATACGAACTTTCTGCCACATTTGCCTGATGTTTGTATCTGTAATCAACTGCTTTGTGTTCAAACTTTCCACAATGATAATAACTATAATTCTTCCCTTCTTGATTGTAGTTACCTCTTCCTCTACCATAATATGTTGATCCAAAACTATGACCACCTCTTCCTTGATGTGCTGGATTGAAACTGTTGAAGTTGTTGTCTCTCCATTGGTTAAAGCTACCACGTCCTCTTCCACTATAATTTCCTCGACCTCTGCCTCTATAATTTCCTCTTCCTCTATTATTGTAATTATTTTAAACTCTTTCTTCTACAGTACGGCTTGACTCAAATGTGTTGTTGAAATTTACCTGACTTTTAGAGCTTCTTCTTTTACCACTTTCTCGGTCTTTTCTAATATTCGGTTAACATGACTTTCAATGCTTCCTTGTAACTCTGCTACAGACAAGGTGTCTGTGTCATGAGACTCAATTATTGTAGTCGCGACATAATCAAACTTCACTGGCATCGTACGCATAATCTTTTCTACCACTTTGCTATCAGAAATATCTTCTCCATATACTCTCATCTTGTTGACGAGATTTATAACACGAGAAAAATAGTATTCTATTGTTTCTGAATTAGATATTTCGTACCTTTCGTATTCTCTACGCAGCGATTGTAATTTGGATTCTGAACCTTCTCCACTCCTTTATGTGTTAACTTCAATATGTCTCACACTTATTTAGCAGTCTTGGCATTTGCAATTTTTCTAAATACTGAGTAATCAATTTCTTGATGAATTTGTGAAAGTGTCAATTGATCCTTTCTACGAGTGACTTCATCAGCTCCTTGTTGTAAATCGGGATCCACAAAGCTCCAAACATTATGAATTGTTAGATGGATTGTCATCAAAACTTTCCAATAATTAAAATCTAATTTTGCGATTAATTTTAGACCAGACCAGACAAATTGTAATTATTTGTCATATCTCTCTAAAAAAATATTCACAAATTTTTTTGACATAATAAAAACTCTTTTATTCCTTACACACTCAATAATATTTTTGATACTCACACTAGCCAAACCTAACCTGCTATGATACCAATTTAGTATTAGATGAGACTTAGAAACAATTTTCTCTTAACACTCTTACTTCATATAAATTTTATGATGAACCATTTCTACATGTACATATGCCTTTTAAAGCCTTCTATACTTAGCAAATAAGTTATTAGTCTTAGACACTAAGCAAAGCTATAGGCGGTTAAGAAATTTTGGTCCAATGAAACTATTTCTTAATAGCTAAGAGTGACACCAAGCTATGACTAATAAAGGTCTACATATGTATTTAGATTGACGGTTGATAGAATTGGTTCTAGTAGAATTGATTTTATAATTGAATTTATCATAATTGATTTATATTTAGATATATTTGTATAAATGTGAGTTGAATTATAAATTTTAATATAAAAATCATCTTGAATCAATTTTAGAGACAGAAAATATAAATTCTAACTTTAAATAGAATCAATTCTAAAGACAAAATTAATTCTACTTTAACATATTCAAATATATTAAAATTATTGCAGAATCAATTCTGCACTCTAAAAAATATTTTTAACTTTACTAAAATTAAAATCAAACATACACTATATGTTCTAATCACTTTAATTTAAGTTGCCAACTTTTCTACAGGATGTATATAATATACTTGATTTAATGAATTCTAACATTTAGTCCCCTTGTGTACTTTGTTTCTTTCTTTTATTGGATTTTCTTATTTTAGTTATATAAAAAAAGATTTGCGAAGTAAATATGATCAATTTCATTGTTGTTAAATAAATTAATATTTTTTTAAGGGCAATCTAGAACTCCCTCATTAATCGTGGATGTTTCCATTTCCCATATTTAAAGATAAATTGAAGTGTATTTATTTGGAATCCATAATTATCCCATTGGAAAGATACATCAGTTTTTCTATAACTATCTATATATTGAATTGATGAATGTCATTTTGGCTATTGATACTTGTCATGACAAATATTGGTTATAACCTTTGGTTAAAATGTGATACTATGTTTGTTTATCAAACTTTATCTAATGTAAAGATTGTCTCTTGAAAACTTCAAACCAAATGGTGTAGCTTGTAACTTTCTTCTTCCTTTAATTATAATTTTTCATCTTAAAATGCTTGCAAAATACTCCTACTAATTTTCCATTACACTAATCACTAGGGTCCAGCTATGTGTTAGTTCCTTTTAATTGGAATATATAATCTCTCTTTTACAACTCATAAATTTATAAATTAAAAAACTTTGGTGATCACCCCAACTAAATTAGTCGCACAATAACAACTACTGAATTGAATTGTACTACTCCTTTGCTGAAAGTAGCTGTTTTTTACTTCAATAACAAACTGGTACTATACCTCACATCATCAATCATATCATAAACTGAATTACTGCACTACAAAATCAAACTCTTATTCCAAAGAATCTTTTCTCCTCTTTCTTTAAACACAATAAAACCTCTTTCTCGAAAACAGTAGCACAGTACAATTTCCTAGTAAAAAAAAAAACAACTACCCAAAACTTCGACCACACCCATGAGCCTGAGAGCGACTTTCTATAAACAAAACCACTCACTTTCTCTCTCCTCTCTACTGTCATACGCTACTTTCATGCAAATAGCACCTTCCCCAAACCTTTAACTACTCTCGTTCTCTCTCTACAATTTTCTATGGCAAATCTCTCATCTCTTCCCTAGTTACCAGCTAGACTTTTTCATTATTTGACTTTTTCATATTCCAATCTCTCCTACAAAAACTCCATCATTTGGAAGATACCCTTGTAATACTAGTATTTCAGAGATTTTTTCGCCGCGTATCTCGCGACACCCTTTACCTATTTTTCATTCTATTCAAACCCCTCTTACCTAAAACAGACACTTTTTTCATAGGAAATGGCGAACGTGTTAGAGAAAGAAACTGGGTTCACCATGTTCAGTGATGATGAGCTAAAGGATGTTAACGAGGTGAAGAGAGTTGGAGAATATGTTGAAGTCATGTGCGGTTGTACTAGCCATAGATATGGTGATGCTGTTGGATGGCTTAGGGTTTTCGTTAATGGTTACCTTGAAATAACCTGTGAATGCACCCCTGGTTGTAAAGAAGGTTCTTTCAGTCGATAGTTATGTAGAGACATCAGAATGTAAACTTTTTATTACCATATTTGTGTTGATTTCTTATGTGTCTGTATTTCATTTGTTTCACAGACAAGTTGACTCCTGCTGCATTCGAGAAACATTCTGGAAGAGAAACAGCTAGGAAATGGAAGAACAATGTGTGGGTAATAATTAATGGTGAGAAAGTTCCATTGTATAAAACAGTTCTTCTCAAATACTACAATGAAGCATTAAGAACAGCCAATGGATCACACAAATCGCAAAATGGACGAGGCCATCGAGATGAGTTTATCCGTTGTACTAGATGTAACAAAGAGCGTAGGTTCCGTCTGAGAACAAAAGAGGATTGCCGCATTCATCATGATGCTTTGGCTGATCCAAATTGGAACTGTTCTAATCTTCCGTATGACAAGTATGTTATACCTATATGTTTCTTTGAACCACCACACTTTGTAGTAATCGTAATTCTTATACTATAATATCACATTTATATACAGTATCATACAATGTGTACTTCTCTGTTGAATTTATGTCTACGTTATCTATGATGGATTCGGTTTTAATCATCGATATAAATTGGACTTTTTCAGTGTCATACTGTGATTATTGTTGTTTATGGAGAAATAATTAGTATTTATTGTTTACTTTATTTCAGAATTACATGTGATAATGAAGAAGAAAGAGGAAGTCGAAGGGTTTACAGAGGATGCACTCGTTCTGCAGCATGTAAAGGCTGCACTTCTTGTGTATGCTTTGGGTGTGGGATATGCCGTTTTTCAGATTGCAATTGCCAAACTTGTACTGACTTTACCAGGAATGCCAATGTCAAAGCTTGACTTCAAATTATGCTCCTAACTTCTGATTTTTTTTGGTACCCTTTCAAGGTTCTGATGTACTCGTTTATTAATTATTTTCCATTAAATGATTAGAGCTCTATGTTTTTTTTTGTGATATAGTTTGATACAAAGTACTCATTTATCGTCTTCCATCTTGAACTTTTTAACCAACTGCATTTTTATTCCGAGTCTAGTTCTATTAATGCTAACACAGTTGCTTCTTAATTACATGTAACATACATTATACTCCATCTCCCATATTTTCATATTATAATAAAAACTCACTTTTTAAATTTATTTAATAATTAGTATATTTGATCTATAGCCTGTATATAGATCAGATACATTAATTATGTAATAAATCTAAAAAATGAATTTTTCATATAATTTATAATTTAGGAGAAAGGGAGTATATAAAGAATAGTATATATATATAAAATAAAGAATGTTCTATTCTTTATCTAATTATCATTCAACAAAATGTTTTCTCTTGTAGATATGATTCTATGGCATGCTCGTTGAATATTAATGAACTTTAATATTTTTGTAATGAATGTTAATTTGTAAAGTAACTTCAAAAATGTGAATTAATAGGAGTAGGAAAGGATTTTTTTTTTTTGCTTCTATGATTTTTTTTATAAAATGTTTTTAATACACGAGCAAAAGTGTGCTAAGAAGTTGTACAAGTTAATCAGTTGGCAAGCTAGAAAAGTAATGCGAACCAATGGTAAATTATGATAAGTACTCTCCTAGTTATAAACCAACATTTGAAAAATGTCTCTAAATATAGACTTCTTTTTAAATTGTTGGATGCGTCTATTTGTTTTTTAAAATATATTTCTAATTAATATTAGTACTTTTTCTGTTATTAAAATGAGACATGTTTGTAAAATTATATATCTAATAGTACTCTGACATATTTGTAAAATTATATATCTAATAGTACTCTGGATTCTAACATGAGTTTTAAGTTTGCTTTAATAAAATTATTATTCTCTTTTGTAAATAATTATTTTAAATTAATGTGAATTGATCAATTAGTTCACTCATTTTGTTTATAAAAAACCCCACAAGAATATTTACTTTTTGAAGAGAATTGCTTGATACACCTTTAGAGGTTTTTAGGAGTCTTTGTTAAATTTTTTTGTAATATCTCTTTAATTTGGATATGATAGTCAAACTCATCATATTTCAATTTTTTATTGAATATGTTCAGAGATGCATATCCGAAGTCATTAAATAATAATTTTTTGATACATATCTGAAATAACTCTTGTTTTTTTATTTATAAAAATAAAGGTTATTTCGAAAAAGCATATTCGAAATATGCAAAACCAATAACAAATTATGTTTTAGCAGAATCAGTACCATAGAAATATGAAAAAATTAAATTGGTAAAAGTAAACTGTGATAAAATGTTGAATAGATATATTATAGGCAAAATTATCATTTTTGGTCCTTTAATTATAGATCATGATTCATTTTGGTCTCTTAATTTTTTTCCGTGCCATTTTGGTCCTTTAAGTTTCTAAATGATACAACGAAGTCCCTTCCGTCAGTTGGCCTCAAACGTCCGTCTATTTTATCTAACTGGCAGGTGAGCTGACAATATGTCATCTTCTTTATATCTTTCGTTTAAGGACATGTTCAGTGTTCTTCACCCTTCTCCTGTTTTTAGCTTCATTCATCTTTGTTCGTCTTCTCAATATATCTTCGTTCTCGTACCCAACAGCTTCATTCTCATCTTCTTACAATTTCTTCACTGAACGATGAAGGTCGGTCAATGTTCTTTGTTTATGAAGGAGAATAATTCTGAAAGTGGTGAGTCATTTGTTTACAGTAGCTCGCGAGTTGTACCAACTTGCCATTATGGAGATCAAGTTGTCCTTCGTAGAGCAAACACTGAGAAGAATTTTGGAAAGAAATTTTGGGGTTGTCATAATTATAAGGTAAATATTAATTTGGATTTGAGTTTGTTCATAACTATTAATTAGATTTTCATCCATATTTAAAATTTGCAGGGTTCATTGCAAAGAGGATGTGTTTTTTCAATTGGTTACATGAGGAATTTGCAGAAGACAGAAATCAAATTTTCATGAATAGGTTGGAAAGCATGTTAAAGGATTTTGATGAAACCAAAGTTCAGATTGAAAAATTGAAGTTTAGCCATGAAGAATTAGGGAATGTTGTGATGGAACTTCAACTTCAACTGAACAAGAAGATGAAGTAGAAAAAATTATTGAACATTATGTGTTTTGTAATGATATGTGTATGGTTTTTTAAGATGTTTTAGGAGTATGTATCAATTGTTATGTCTATGTAATATGTATTTGTAACACATTTTATCAATTTCAAATGAGTTCTATTGTTTGGCATAATTTTTAGCAACCATGATTATAACTGTTCAGATTATCAATTGTGACACAATTTATCAATTAAAACACAATTTATCATGACCATAAACACAACAATTTTCATAGTCAAAATACTTAATCATTAACATAAACAGACATTGACATGTTACATAGACATGTTCAAAATACATTGACATATTTTCATAAAGGTTCCAAAATGCATAGATATGTTCAAAATACAATATATAATACCAAAATGTTACATTGACTTGCTAATACCATAAACTAGATAAGGCATATATATATAACTATATGGTGCTCTTTGGTGTGATTCTCTTAGTTGGAGTAGACCTTCTGGTAGTAGGACCAACCACATTCTTGGAATCAGATAATCTGGTTGTTGGTCCTGGGTGTACAAAGGGCCTTCTTACACCAAGTTTCCATGACTTTCCAGTTCCTTTTACATTTTTCTTTGTGCCTTGCCCTCTTGATTTTTCCTTTCCTTGAGAAGACTGAGTTGCACTCATGTATCCCTGATTTGATGCTACCTGAAATGCATTAGCGTTAGATGTTGAAGCTTGTGTTGCATTTGCCGCTACCTGACTTGCATTGGCCCGACTTGCATTGACGTGAATTGTATTGGCCTGACTTGCATTGGCCTGAGATGCTGAAGCATGAGTAACAATGGCCTGACTTGCTTGAGTTGTTGGTGTGACCTTGCAGGTCTTCTTGTTATGTTCTTCTTTTTTTCACCTATAGCACTTGACTATAAAATATGTTCTTTTTTTTTGTCATTACCATCAATCTCCACTTACTCAAGGTTTCTCTTTTTCTTTAGTCTACCAGACATCTTTCTGTACTTAGGTGGTTGCACATCTGGTTATGGAGTCTTGACCCACAGATTGGATTCACTCACAGGGTAAAGCACATGCTTGTAGACTGCCTTGTACCTAGATATCCTATAATACTCGGGAATATAATCATCAACTTTAAAATTCCTACTCTTCATAGCAGACATTGCATGGACACATGAGAGTCCTGTGAGATCCCATCTTCTGCAAGAGCACAAGTAGTCCTTCAAATTCACAGTGAAGGTTTCAACTGGATTTTCTACATGCCTTGCTTCAAACACGTGCTCATCTAATATTCTACAATAACATACAATGCTATAAATAACAGTAACAACTAATACTATAAATAATAGTAACATACAATGATATTCCATACCTGACCAGCCATAAGTTTTTAAAACTGCTTGTTATATCAATCTTCTTTCAAATATACACAAAATATCATTCCCAGATTCATCTTGGAACATCATTCTATTTTTTGCCCATCTCTCTATTATGTAAGTTCTATCTCCTCAAGCATTATCACAAGTGGTTTTGCTCTTGATTCAAAAATAACACTATTAAATGCCTCTGACATATTATTGAGCACATCATCACATTTGTTAGTTGTCCTAAAATATGATCTACTCCAATATCTAAGTGGGGTCTTCATCATAAGGAGAAACGTCTGTTCACTCATCAATCTCATTCCCCTCATTTCTCTTTCCCAAGCTTGTGAGTATGTAGACTTTACAGCCTTCCATATAACTTCCTTATACATCTTTCCAGGAAACCTCTTCCTAAAATTATTGTACAAATGCCTAACACAAAATATTTGTTTAACATTGGACAACAACTCATTCACTGCAGGTAAAAGTCCCTATAAAAACATTTTGCATAACAGAAAAATATCAAGTTTATACCAACAAAGAAAATCTAATGCTAAGAGTTTATACCAAATTGAATGTACCTTTTGTTGGTCTGAAATGAAACTGTATGAGAGACATTCATTTTCACCTCCTAGGTGAGCAATAAATAGCTCTAAAAACCATGTTCAGCTATCCCTATTTTCACCTTCAACAACTGCAAATGCTATAGGAAGTATCTGATCATTAGGACCCCTTCTTATAGCTGCCATAATTTGTCCTCCACAAAGTCCCTTCAAAAAACAACCACCCTGACCTATGACATATTTACATAATTTAAAGTTCTCTTTACATGCTTCATAGCATATGTAAATCCTTCTAAAAAATGGTCTTTGATCCTTAACTCCTTCTAAAGCTGGTTTAACATTTATCTTAACTGTTGACCCTGGATTAGCTCTTAGTTCATGACAGTAGTCATATATCCTGGTGTAATTCCCTGAAAAGAACCATCAACCCTATCCATAGCAGACACTTTTTCTCTGATAGATTTAGTCTTGTTTACCTCTACATTTCACTTCCTCAAAGCCTTTTCTTTTATATCATTTACTTTAAGCCTAGGATTGTTTTTCAATGCATTCTGAATCATCTTGCTTAACCACTTTGTACTTAGCACCTTCATATTATACTCCCTACTACAAATATGTTTGTCAATTACCTTCCTTAATTGACAAGATTCCTCATTTAATAACTTAGAAAAATAGACCTCCCACTCACAACCAACCTTACATCTCATCCTCACCCTTTCTTGTATTTTTTTTATGAATTTGAGATCTCTAGCCTTTTGAAGAGCATATGAGGTTAATGCATCCTTAATGTTAATATTTGAAGTAAAATACATTCCTACCTCCAATTTTTAATTGAACATATATTTTCTTGATTTTAAAATTAGGTACTTCTTCCTTTTCACTCCACTACTATCATCACTCTCACAACCACTTTAAAGATCATCACTGCCATTATCACTCCCCTTATATTCTTCTGTATCTTATCTACACTTTCCTTTTCCTTTTGCCTCTCCATATATAATGAGATCATCAAGTTCATTTTCATCCATCTCATCATACTCATCAGATTCATCTTTAAAGGTTACTTCAAGAGTATTATCACACTGGTATGTCTCATCCTTACTGTCATCAAAATTATATTCATCATGCACCTCACCATTTGTTGATTCCACTTCAACGTTGTTTGATTCCACAACAACATTAGCATCATTCAATCCAACATTACCTTCTTCCACAACAACATTAGACCCATTCAATCCAGTATTACCTTCTTCCACAACAGCATTAGACTCATTCAATATAGCATTACCTTCTTCCACAACAACATTAGACTCATTCAATCCAGCATTACCTTCTTCTACAACAACATTAGACTCTTTCAATCCAACATTACCTTCTTCCACAACAACATTAGACTCATTCAATCCAGCATTACCTTCTTCCACAACAACATTAGACTCATTCAACTTATCCACAATGTCATCATGTTACTTATTGAGCCACTCTTCCACCTCATCTACAATATTGTCAGGCCCCTCATCAACATTATCAACAGAACCATCAAAATAATCAGGTTAAGACACAATGTATTGAATGTAGATATCAACGCTTTGGTGTACTATGTAAAGGTCTGCAATGTTTAGAGCACCTTTGTCATCAACTAGGGCATTCATTCCAAATTATGGGTCCTTGTAATACATTTTGTCAAAGTCCATGTAACTTAATTCCTTCAATACATCAACTAACTCAAAATAACTCCACTTATCAACATCTACTGTCAAATCATCTACCAAACCTCCTTCATACACACTAAGTTCATGATCAATAAATTCACCACTGTGATGAATTTTGAGCTTCAGAAATTCGTCCATTAACCTTACTCAAATAGTACTTGTCATCTAACACATTTCCAAAACAAACATTCAAAGCCATAAATCTACCAAAAAAACCTAAGTATATAGAAAGCCCTAAATATACCAAATACCTAAATCTACACAAAGCCCTAATCCTGTTACGAAAACATGCAGAGAATACTTACCTCCAAATGCAGTCGTTTCACAATCACCTTCCTTCACAATCGCCTTTTGAGTCGCTTCCAGAATCGCCTTCGTGTTCGTGTTTCAGACTTAGAGTTGATTCGCTTTGAAGATGATACAAGGTTATATCCATTCGTTTAAGTTGTAATCATATTCACTCATCAAGTATACCACCATATAGACTCCACTTATCCACTTCATCAAGTAAACTGTCACGTGGAAGTTGTTTTTGGACTTTGACTAATGGTTCACTAACAGAAGGACTAACGTGGTTATATTTAGAAAATTAAAGGAGCAAAGTGGCACGAAAAATAATTAAGGGACTAAAGTGAACCAGAGGGTATAGTTAAAGGACTAAAATGAGTATTTTGCGTATATTATATAGGCATTGAATCGTATAGAATTTACATTGTGCACGGTAATACATTTAAAAAATGGTTCGATTGCATTCTAAAATATACCGAATGAATTGTCACTGCTTAAATTTAAAATCGGTTCTTTCTTCAACTGAAAATTTGATCATTTATAAATCGTTGTCGAACATCTATCTCGACATCAATCATTTTAATGTCGTTCTTCACCTCATTCGGCTTAGTGTCGTCGTTCACCTTGTCTGAAACCTTTACAATAGCTTTGGGAAAAGTTGATTGAGAATGATTAAAGTTTTGTGGTAGATTTTGATTATGGGAAGAAATGAAGAGAATAAAATAGTGGTAGAGGTGATCATGTGGCAAGCTGAAATAACAATATTTTCGGATATGCATATCTGAAAATACTACTGGATATTTAAATCCAACATTTAAATAATAATAACGTTTAAACGGGAAGAATTTCGGAAATACAACTCCGAAAGACATTTTAAAATTTTTAAGAGAATTACTTCACCCTTTGAGAAATACCATATGTTAGAAGATAGAATAGTCAAACTTGTCGCTATTTAAAAATTATGGACTTAAAACTAAAGGGATTTTGAATTTTAAGGTATATTAATTTAAAGAAATGTTGTATCCTCTCCCATTAACAACTACTTTTCTATTCTGTTTTGAAAGATCAATACTTTTTCACCTTAAAAATAACTAAATGGTCATTCATATGGCCACGAATAATGTATCTTGGATTCTTATTATTATCTGACATTTAGATCTAATGCCGATTGTGTAAAAAAAAATCTAATGCCGATTCACAAGTGGATTTCATCAATGGAACAGTAAATACTTTTTTTTTTTTGGTTTCTTAAATACACTTTATTTGTGAGTTTAGTGCATTTAGTTCCAAAGTACATACAAACTTGGAAAACTGGAAAAACTTTCTATCAATGTCTTTCCATTTTGAGGCCCTATTTATTAAGTAGGGATCTATTTATTTTAAGAGTCATGTTCTCTAATATTTTCCTTAGGTGATGCTAATAAGTGTCTTTCGAACACTCTTAAATATATCAAATAAAGAAACTCTTAAATATATCAAATAAAGAAAATATTTTTTAAAAAAATCAATTATTTCAATTTCTAATATATTGAATACACGTATTTTCAAAAAAAAAAACTTACCTCTTTCAGCACTTAACAAGTGTCTATGAAACACACGTCAGCATTTCCCTTATTTTAATACTCCATAATCATGAAACACACGTAAGCATTTCCCTTATTTTAATACTTCATAACCATGACCAATGAACCCACTTGTGAACAGTGGGTGTACTTACTGCACAAATTATTTTGCACAAAAATTCTTTCATACATGTTTCCTTTTTACAATTCATCCTTGGTGAAAAAATATTTGTCCACCAAGCCACCAAGGAGGAAATCTTCAGTACATGACTATACAAATCAAAGTCTAATGAAAACAAATGACCAATATGAACTCATTACATGAATCGCAACAAAATAAAGTATGTATTGCTTCCAATAATGTTCCAACCAGAGAAATTGTTTCAATGTGTAATTACCTTTACACAGTAACCTTTATTTGGCTGGTCGCCAACCTTTACCACCTCTATGGGATGGTCTCCTCCTGTGTCCAGCAAATGTTCTCTCGCGGCCATCATAAGCACCGGGATTGAATTGCTGATTAAATTGTGGAGGATTCTGATTAGCTGAAATTGGTGAAGATTGGAAATTTGCAGGTGGGTTGAACTGAAGCGGAGGGCCACCTTGATAGCCTGAAATTGGCGGTGATTGAAAATTTGCAGGTAGACTGACTTGATGCTGAGGGCCACCTTGATTGCCTGCAATTGGCGGTGAATGAAAATATGTAGGTGGGTTGAATTGATGCGGATGGCCACCTAGATTGCCTGAAATATTAGCTGGTTGAAAATATGTAGGTGCTTGAAACTGGGGAAAGTGTGTCCTTTGGTTTTGATTCATGGGCCCCTGTGCATGCATTGGTTCTGCATACATATTGGGCTGTCCTCCAGGATATACAGTTGGTGGAGGAAACCTGTGGCTGGGATTGAACTGCTGTTGAAATGGGATTCCTTTCATCGGCTGCTGTTGAAATGGGATTCCTTTCATCGGCTGCTGATGAAAATTTTGGGTATTTTCTGGGTACCATGCGACATTATTTGTAAGGAATCCACTAGACCAATTATGGGACACTGGAGGCTGGTGTGGCAATGCCAGTAGTGGTGGAAGAGGGGAAGAATGTCCATGGCCAACACCAGAAAAGCCTTGTCCAGTGCCAGGAATAGGGGAAGAATGACCACGACCAACACCAAAAAAGCCTTGTCCACTGCTCGGAACAGGTGGACCGTGACCATGAGCAACCATTTGCCTCTTAGGGATGGAACCATCATTTAGTGGAAGATGCTGCCTGTCGTTTTTCATCCTATCAGAATTTTGACTGCTTTGGCCTCTTTTTGACTGTTTTTGTATTCTATAGTACTCGGCCTCTTGCCCATCATCTGAAAATTCCGTTTCATCGGACACTTCCTCATCATACATCCCGGATGCATCAGATCCTTTCTTGTAAAGATCCTTGGAATTAAGCACATGTTCAGCAAACTCGGCAACAAACGAAATCAAAGTTCCCTCATGGACCCCTTCTGGGATTTCATCTTCCGAATTGTATCTCACTATATAATGTGGATTTTTAACTTGTGCAAAGGTATCATCAATGACACCTAGGGGTGTTTGCCTTCCAGTAATCCAGAGAACAGAACCTTGATCAAGAGGGTCGTGTTTCTCCGACCCTTCCACAATGACTCTAGCACCAACAATCTGGAAAAAGAATCACTTGATTAAGATGATTACAATGCTAATTGGCATCCCTTCTCTTCTATTTCCCCTTGTAATAATATTACAAAATATTAATGCAAGTAGAAGAAGAGGGTCCACCATGTAACCTAAAGAAGCTAAAAAACTTGCAATCAACATTTTTTTTACACTAGAAAGCCTATCTAAAATTTTTTATATCAGAGACAAGGTTTCAGTCAGCTTACAGATGTAACAACTCCCAGAGGCAGCAATATATGATGTGGTCCCAATTTCACATTCACAGGAGGGACCCTAGGAAGAATCTGCAAAATTCACAAACACAAAAAAGCAATTAAAGTTAAACGACATACATCACAAAAGTAAACAAATTAAAAAAAGTGGTCCACATGAAGGCTTTCATGTTAGTTAAACTAGTTTGAAGTAACGTAGAGTATAGAATATAACTCACCCTTCATCCAGCAATCACATGTACCATATATTGCATATCGCATTAAATAACAAAAGATAACAACTTATATGTTGATTCTAACATTCTTCAATCCTCCTAATGAAGCTTCAGAGTAAAATATGGAGAAGTCAACAAATCAAAAGCCAGGTTTCAATTCAACAGTTCACCAGTGAAACTATAACCAATTCAGATTCATCTGTCGGCACAGAAGCAAAGTGGGATTGGAAACACAGGCTTCAAACCCACCAAGCGCGTGTCTTTAATGTTTAACTGAATACATTCAAAACACCGTTAGCCTCTAAATCCAACCAGTTAATGTGTAAAAATCTGAAGGAAAGAAAAAATTGCAGACTAATCTAATCAATACAAATCACAAAGATGCTTCTATCACCTTCTTTACCATTCAGATAAATCATACTAGTACTAATTTCAAACACGGTATACTACTGTCAAATGAACAAACATTTAACTTACAATAGATAAGAAAGAAAGAAAAAACAATACCTCAAGCTCATTAGTGAACCTGACAGATCTTTCTTCTGAATCTTCATCATCTGAATCAACTGAACAGACTTTTCTATCATTATCAGATTCTACTATCTCACCTTCTTCCAATTCATACTCCTCATCAATTTTAATACCACTATCAGAACACTCATTCTCCCTATTAGAACCTTCAGTAACAGTTGCATTAACATCATCGTTAGCTACAATCTCACCTCTAATCTCATCATCATTAGCAATAACTTCGCCTCTAATCTCACCATCTTCACTCTCCATTCCAACAGCATCATCAACACCGATGATCTCGCCTCTAATCTCATCATCATTAGTGACAATCTCGTCTTTAATCTCATTATCATTAACAATAACATCGCCTCTATTCCCATCATCATTAGCAATAACATCGCCTCTATTCCCATCATCATTAGCAATAACATCGCCACTAATCTCACAACCTACTCTCTCCATTCCAACAGCATCATCAACACCCATGATCCCGCCTCTAATCTCATAAACATTGGCGACAATCTCGCCTCTAATCTCATCATCATTAACAATAACATCGCCTCTACTCTCATCATCAGTAGCAATAACATCGTCTCTAACCTCGCTATCTTCACTCTCCATTCCAACAGCATCGTCAATAGCCACAATCCCGCATCTAACTCCGCCGCTTTCATTTTCATCTACCTCCTTTTCAACCAAACCGAAACTCCCAATCCTTTCCTCGATACCGGAACTACCAACTGGAGGATCCGAATCGGAAGAACCAGATTCGGTGATAAATGGATCAGGAGGATCATCTGAGATAGGGCTGGAGGCGGCAAGTTCGAAATTGATGAAAGAATCGGCGAGAGCAATGTCATCGTCGTCCATGTTTGAGACGCGGCAGAGTTAGGGTTAGAAAAAAAGAAAACCTTTGGAATTAATACAAACAACACATTTAGAATTAGTACGAACAAGTTCTTGATTTCCATATCGGTAAAGGTTTTCGGTATCTTTTGGAAGCGCTTCATCTCCTTAAACCCTAGGACGCGCCAAATCTGGGTTTCAAAACTCATGTACACAGGTTATTATTCCCAACCAAACGCTGTCGTTTTATGGTCATTTGTTTTACGGTACTACTGAATTAATTATACGCCTACCCATAAATACTGATTTCTTTTTTACAGCATCCATAAATAGTGCGGATAATAATTACAACCTTCAGACATATTTATAAACAATAAAAAAATTTAAATTTTTTATTATTATTACAAATAAAAGTTAATTATTATTAAATTATTTAACATTATAATTTCTAATATATTCTCTATTTCATTTCTCAATATTTCAATGAATTTAATAAAAATGATATTATAAGAAATTTAATTAATGTTTTCATCAAAAATTTTAAAGATTAACTACACTTGATTGAATTTCTTAATAACTGTAAAAATAATTTTTGTTGCTTATAAATATGTCTAAAGGGTGTACTGTACTATTTTTTTATACAATAATAATTACTGCTAATATACATTTCTTCCGTCTTAAAATATAAGAGAAAAAATAAAAATCACATTTATTAAAAAAATAAAAATATAAGGGAATTTATTAGTACACTCTTATAGGATGAAAACACCTCTGAAAATTCCAAAATACCATTCGGATATGTATTTCCGAATGAACCCTTAAAATGTGTTTCGGATACGCATATTCGAAAAATCATCTTTTTACACGTTATTGTAATTTAAACGTTGAGTTTAAACATTCAGTGAAGGTTTTAGATATGCACATTCGAGTCCACCTTAGAAGTATTTCGGATGTGCATAAGTGAAATTCCCACTGAACTAGAGAGAATGGAGGCAAAAGGCAGAATAGTGGTGTGTGGTAAAAAATTTATTAAACGCACTGAATATAAACACAATAATTTGATACTTAACCCGTTTGATTTATATAGAAAAATCGAAAATCGAAATTATACGAAAATAAAGTGATTAGTGATCGTACCTGGTCAGAAGGAAATCGTCACTGGCCCACGAGCTTGAGTTAAACGACAATTATGAGTGAAGTAGAGGGGGTGTACATGCAAAGTACTCTAATGCCAAAGTAAAAACAAGAGAAATCAGAGCGCAAGTACTATAGTGAGAAGGTGAATGAATGGATACCTGACTCTCTCAAGTGAGAGGGTATTTATAGCCCCAACGTTGAGCCAAGGTTCCCATGTTGGGCTGACCAAGCAGGCCCAAAATAGAGACTTTCATGTCCTACGTGTGTAGTGGAGACCTGCACGTGGTCTCCATCCTGAATGGACTGCTCCGAACTATCAGGAGGACGTGGATATAGTATTTTCGGGGTCAAGAGGACCCCGTGATATTCTGAGGCGTTGGATGCCTGCCCTGCGAGGAGGGTGCTCGCGAGGACCTCTTGAGTGTCACTGATTCTCCTCGGCGGGTATGTGGTGAGGATGTCCTCGGGGGATATATCCTCGACGCGAGGAACGAAATCAATGCTCGACATGATCAAGGGCAGATTCACTCATGTTGGTCTCCTCCTGCGGGATAGTTGGATTGGGCCTTGTATGATGTTTGGGTCAAGTGTAGGCTCAGTCCAGAACAGGAGCCTCCTAAGTTGTTGTTCCTAAGGGGATGAGCTATGACTTAATATTAACTTGTCGGTCTGGCGAGGATAGCTATGTCGGGGTCCCCTATTTCTTTGAGGGACGAGGTCGTCCTTATATGGCAGTTGTTCGGATAGAAGTTAAAGCGTGTTTGCGGGGATAGTTGACATGTTCCTCGACTCGCAGGGAGACAAAAAGGTTGCAAGAGAATAACTTCGCGGGCCATGTGGCGTAGCTCTTGGGGTAGAATGATGGCCTAGGGAGTAGGGGTCATTATGACTCTGAACGCGTGGGCGGCGGAGAAACGAATAGCTTACACATTATTTAATGCAACACTTCGTCTCCCGTGCAAGTTTTATAAATAACGCCCAATAGATAATTTGTAATGTTTTCAAGTTCTCGTTTCCTCCTTTCCCTTCACTGCCATCAGTTTTCCTCTCAGTCGTGAACACCGCCGCAACTTCTGCCGCAGAATCCATACCAACTCCACTCAAGTAAGTGTTTCTCTATGATCATTCTTGTTTATAGATGGCTTTTGCATTTTATGGAGATTCCCGGAGGGGTTACCTCGCAGAATTCATGGATTTCTGATGAATTTCACTATCTGGGGGATTTTCCCTCGGGATATTCATACTTCTCCTCGTGAAACTCATGAGTTTGCTCGTGAAATTCATCCGCTCCTCGCGGAACTAACGAAATTGCTCGGGGAATTCATCCCCTCCTCGCAATGCTCATGGGGTTACTCGGGAAATTCATCTCTTCCTCGCGATACTCATGGGATTACTCAGAAAATTCATCTTTTCCTCGTGATACTCATGGGATCGCTAGGGAAATTCATCTTCTCCTTGCAATACTCATGGGATCATTCGCTTCCCGCTGAACGAGGGTTTATCGACGCGGTTTGGTCGTAGCAATCCCCTTTCACTTGTTTTGCAGTGGAAGGGTGGATTTCATTTATCCGTCGAATTCACTTGTTTCCTCTGCTTTATAGGTGAAATGACTGAACCAGTCGAGGTGGCTGCCACAGATGAGCAAGTCGAAATAGAGGAGGCAAGCGAAGCCGATGAGGGTCTCCACTTGGTTGACACTATCACCGATGAATAATTGTCTTGGGTTGGGCCAGAGCCTCGAGGAATAGCCTTGGTCTTCAACAATACTCAGAGGGAGGCGTACACGGTTGTCAAATATGGTGGTGACCGAAAAGGTTTTAGACTAAATTTCATGATCTTTCGCCCGACCCTACGGCTAGAATATGCTTGCATTTCCAGGAAGACCGCTTCCATATGCATGAAGTCATCTTCAAAGATCTGGAGCTTCGTCTGCCCTTTAGTGACTTTCAAATGGGTGTGTTTAATCATTTGTCTCTGGCGCCTTCCCAACTTCACCCAACACAATTTCCTTTATACCGGCGTTTGAGATCACTTGCCAGTATTTTAGAATTGGATCGATGATTCCCCTGTTCTTTAGAAATTTTGACCTTTAATGGCAGTCTAAGGGAGGAAAGCATATGTTGGTTTCTTTTAAGCAATCCAAGAGGTTGTTCAGGGTGTACATGGACTTTGTCTGTGATTTCAAGGAAAAATGGTATATCATGCAGTCCGCGTCCCAAGAGGTTGTGGATGCAGTGTTCGACCCAGCTATTATCATCGATGAGGACGTGGAAGTTTATTACGACGAGGGTGGGAATAAAGAGGTTGAGAGGCTCTCCAAATTTCCTATCCATTGGTGTCGAGAACATTACGATAATGGGCCTGGCCATTACCATACTTCTGTTGGTGGTTTGAGTAACGGGGATGAGGAGGCCTTCAACATTCTTAACAAATTCGTCGACAGTTTCTTCCCCTCCAAGTGGGTGACGCGGGAGGGAGACAACGTTCTTGGAGATGACGGTGAACCTACAATCGAGGCGCACCCGATCAATACCAAGTTTCTCGTTGAATTTCATACTTATGGGGATGCCACAACTCTTCAGGGTCTCTGCATGCGCAATCATGTTGCCTAAGTCTATTCATATACGCCCTCCTAGAGGAACTAACTCGAGCATGTTATTTTTGCCTTTGCAGGTAAGATGGCAGAGCATCGTGAATGTATGCTGAAATTGACCCAGGATAAAAAGGGCAGTAAGAGGATAATGGAGCCCACTTAGCTTACTCGCCTCGGTCCCATTCTCGACAGATCAAGGATGAATCTAACGCTTCATCAGGATCTCATGACGCCGCTCAGCCGGAGGGCATGTCAGAAAAAAAGAGGGGTCTCCCTGAAAATGAGCCTATAGATTTGACTGAGGACGGACCGTGTGCTCGTGCCTTTAACCTTCCTCCTTTCTTTTTTGAGAAGGATTTCTTTGAAGGATTTCCCCTAGTCGTGTCTAATGATGAGCCTGTCATTATCAGGCGGCTAGATGAGGAGGGCATAAGAAAACACCTGGCATCGAGCATGGTTGGTCTAATGAAGGCTGTGAAGAGGGATATGGTCCTCGCGAGTGATGGGTCAAGTTCTTCTACCATGGTGAGCAAGCTGGAGTTGGAGAAAACAACTCTCCTGGAAAAGGCGAAGATACTGAAGACCGCCCTTGGGCAGAGCGAGGAAAGTTTCAGGCGCGGTTTGATAGGCTAACAAAGGAGAAGGAGAAAACGGCCAAATTTTTTGAGGAGATGGACTCACTACTGCTCGATAACAAAAATTTGGAGAAAGAGGTCGCTGATTTGAAAGATGTTGTACTGCCCACGGAAGATGAGCCTGAGGGAGTCGCCAACTTGAAGACTCGTGCAAATCTGGTTGCTCAAATCCTGGTTCTTGAGTCAGACTGCATGGACGTGGTGTCTGACGGCTTTGAGATCGTGATGGCTCAGTTGGCCTTGCTGAATCTGGGGCTCAACACTGAAGGTGCTGGAGTCTTGTCTCATGTGGTGGATGGTAATGTAGTCCCTCCTCCCGAATCTTCCGAGCCAGAGACCAAAGAGACTACTCCAAGAAGTGATTAATTTTTTCTTGGCATTTTACTTGTTTTGTTCGGGCCTGCGTGTCCATAATTTTATAATCATTGGACTGAGGTGTTATGTGCCCGTATTTTTTGTAAATCTTGGACAAGGGGCTTTTCCCGACTATCTTTTATTTATGACCGTGTGCCCTTAATTTTGTAATATCTGGACAACATCGGCCTTCGTGGTCAGCTTTTTTGAATGCCTTTATTTTGTTTGTTTATTGCATGTTAGAGGTTTATTTTTCGTTTGTGCTGGACATGTTTATTTCGTGAAGTGTGGAATTTACGCCCGAC